TATATCTCTTCTATATATAAAGTGTGTATCTAACAGAATTTGTTGTTTTAATGGAAAATTTAACGGATTTTATTGTTTAACGGAAAATCTAACGGAATTTAGGATGGAGAAAAAAAACTCGGCTTTTCATTTGACACCTAAACCCTAACATAATTTTTCGAGGACAGAATCCCTCTCATTTGAGAAAAAAATGGTGTAGACTCCTCCCTTGTCGCCGCCGCCGCCAGAGAGCGGTCGGCTTCTGAGAAGAGTTCAATGGAGAATTTGGGCCTGGAGACCCAACCCGAGAGCTCTGATACTAACAACGACGGCAATGCAGGCAGCCCGAAGAGGCCCGCTTGGAAGAAGCCCATAAACGGCGTGGTTGATTCGGGGTCTGTTATGGGCGGTGCCGTCTCCTGGCCTGCGCTCTCTAAATCTATTCGGCCTGGTCCGAGATCATCGGATTCTTCGAGACCCTTTTCCAACGGATCACCATCTTCTTCTCAGGTTAAAATAATAATCTTGATTGTTGTTTTGCACTTACACGTGAAAAAAATTGTTCTTATGGAATATTTGTTTACCGTTTAATCTTGTTTTTTCTTCTGCACTTGGATTTGTGCGGCAAAGTATATGAAAATATTTGGTTCATCTTCAATATTGTGCCTGGTTTTGTGTGTGCATTGTTGCATATTTTTCATTAAAGGGGTGGTAAAGATTGAATTTTAGATGTAAAGATGAATATATCGGTTTGTTATTTCCATATACTTTAATCTTTGTAGTGATATGGACGAATATAGTGATTGACAAAGAGCTAATTCTCATACTATTTGAATTCATTATTTTAAGATAAATGCACAACCCCCTGCTCCCTTTCCCCTTCCTTATATTTTTAATCTTTTCTTAGGGATCATACCTGTATAATTAGCGAAGAAATGTTGATTCATCTTAGACAAATTTGTATTCTGGTAAAGGGGTAAAGATTGAACTTGTTTGATAATTTTGCAGAGACAAGCTAACAGTCATGCTATTGCAAATGTTACTGCAAATCATACAATGCCAACTGGACAAAGGCCAATGGGATATCGAGGCCGAGGTGGTGGTATCTCTCCTAGGAATGGACCATCTCAAACTGGCTTTAGTTCCCCATCTTCCATAATGCTACACCCTGTTCTGCCACCATATTCCCCATTTGACATGCCTTATGCGGCTGTGGGACCACCTGTAATGGATACTTCTGGTAGAGGAATGAGGCCAGTGGGAGGAGTCCGAGGTTCTCAATCACATATCAGCAATGACCATTCTCCACACAGGAATAATGTAATTTTGGACAACGCGGGCGTGGAGATGGGCCACATTATAACAATCATGGAGGCAGGCGCGATCAAGATCGAAGAGATGGTCGTCTTCCCCATCAATATATTCGTCCTCCCATAGGATTTTATCCATACCCACCATCCCCTGGCAATGCCACGTTGATTAGGCATCCACCGGTGAGACCTTTTGCAGATCCTGTGGGTTCTGGTAAGTCTGTTCAATATTTCTGTATGATTCAACAATTTGGTCGTGTTACCATCATTTTGTGGTCTTTCAGATATTGCATCTCAAGTAATCTACCATCCAACACTGGATCTGGAGCCCTTTAGGGCTATGCCGCTTGTGCCACCGCCGCCTCTACCAACTATGATTTTTCTTGCATTGATGGATACTCTCCCCACTTCGATTATTCAGCAAATAGACTACTATTTCAGGTATTTGTCATTGGACCGTCTCTTTGAAACCCTAGAAGCGATTCCCCAATTGGTACTCAATAACCCTAGAAGCGATTCCTTCGCGAACTTTGTCTGGCGACGAACAGTGGATAACGCTTGGAATCCGTCTCCGCCCGAAGCTACCTTGAATCACCTGTTCATCAATTTGAAACGGTTCAAATGCTGGATGCCCCGAAGCAGCAAGTAGGCGACAATCGCCCAAATCTCCATATCGTGTCACCCCGCCAGCAACTAGGCTCCCTTCCGCGTGTCACCAACTGCAATTAACCAGGTTTTGTTTTTCTGATTTCAAAATTTCTGTTGACTGTTGTTAGATCAATAAACTATTTTAGCTAACAGTTTACTTGAAAAATTGTTTGGAAGTAACTCCACTAATATTCAATGCTGCATCTAAATTTGAGAAGGAGAAGGAAAGACTGCCACCGCCCCAATCCTCTGTAGATGATGATTTTCCCCAACAACTCAACTACGGGAAGTTAGAAAGAGGGAGACAAATATCTAAAACATCAAAAAACATTATATTATATTCTGTCTAAAATTCTCAAAAAGAGCTTCATGATTTAGTGAAACAAAACAAGAATTAGGAATCATATTTCCTTAATGGATATGGTATTGGTCTTGGTAGGTGACAGTGACACTTGATAATGGAGAAGACGTAAATTGAAGGTAGGTTGTCCATAGGCTGTCGATAACTTAAGTTGCTGATGAAGTTGATGGGTGATGCTGTGATGGTCCCTAATGACTTTGGCCGGTGGTCATACTTGGGTCATGAGGTCTGCAGTGGTGTGTTATGCTGGCTTTGAGTGGAGTGATGGTGGTCTTAGTTTGTTGACAGTGTTGGCATCGGGGTTTGAAGTTAAAAGTGGAGTTTGGCTAAAAAAAAGAATATAGTGGAGGAATATGAAGATTAGATAGATTCTTTTATTTTGATGAAGTGAAATCTTGTTTCGATTAGGAGAGCCTTTGTGGGTAATAGGACACTGTTTAAAAACCTCCAAATGAAAAAAGAGGGTCATTCATTTGAGATATATAGATAGTTTAAATCTTGTATCAGGTGAGCTTAATAATATGGCATTACCTGAACAAGTAAATAAGACCATCTTTGTCTGCTCTTTGCAAGTTTCGGTGTCTCTGTATGACCTGCAGAAAATGATGTAGCTTTACATTCCTTAATTTGTTTTTTAGTATAGATTTTCTTATAGATGATATCTTATGTCATTAGGAGCAAGTGGAATTTGTTTATTAGTATAGATTTCTTATAGATGATATCTTTTATCATTAGGAGCAAATGGTTATTACTGAGGCGTTTGTATGGCCAATAAAAGATTTTATTTTGAATCTTATGTATTCAGCATTTGAGGAACTAGCTTAGGGCATCAATAAGGCTGAATCTGAAAGTTAGGTTGTTTAGCTAACAGTTGTTCGATCAATAAACTATCATTATATGGTAGAATAAGCATCTTAACAATCATGAAATCATATTAGGTTGCATAATGTTGTTATCAGGTGGTAAACAGGGCATCTTGCAGTATTTAGTTCAATGCCAATTGCTGAATAAGAAATAGATGAATATTTGAAAGAGCTAACTGGGGCAGAACTTGCCCATTTGATAAGGAAAAAGCTAGACTTACAGGCTACTGTTAATAAGAACTTACTATTTAAGAAAAAACAGTGAATTTAGAAGAGAAGGGGCTAAAGAATACCTCCATGAAAGACGCAGAGATAATTATCATATAATTTCTATTTATGTGAATTTCAGTATGCTTGGTGCCAAAAAATATCGAGGCAGCTAAATTTGATTGTTGTTGTCGCTTCCAGGATAAGACGTAGAAATGTTGGTGTTTGTCACGGATGTAGAAGCACGGAGCACTTCTTTAGTGATTGCCCGATGAAACTACGATGCCCATGGTGTGCACATGGAATATGTTCGAGGAAGTTGAAGATTTTCTGAATATGTTCGACCACCTAGCTAGAATAGCCGAACGACGAGGCGTCGAGATATCGTTGAACATCACATTTCGCAAGGGGAAAGCTTGATGTGTATTCAACTAAGCTTGTAGTACAAATATTGTTTTGTCAAGAATGTTTATTGTCTTTTTTTTTTTTCTTTGGTGTTTGAATTATATTGATGGTGTTTTGGCAATGAATTCAGTTGATGGTGTAATGGATTGATGTTTTGATGGTGTTTTGTCAATGAATTCAGTTGATTGTGTAATGGATTTAACATTATTCGACTATAGTAGCTTTAAATTACGTCTTATGGCTTAGCTTCTTACCGTTAAATTATCTAATGGATCTGAAATTACTGTCTAGCTTTTTCCTTGAATTATTGTTCATACTAATGTATGCTGATCAGCCTGGTACTTGACCTGATGGAACTGAAATTTGCACATGATTTCGTAGTTACTTAAATGGAGATTAGGAGTTAATTAAGCAAACGTGCATTGCACGTTGCTTACACCTAGTAATCATTAAAATATGTAACTCTGGGTTCTGTCAATCTAGTGCACAGTTGGTCTCCAACTTATAAAAATGGAGCAAATTGATAGTAAACATTTCATTATAATTACAGAATCAATTCACACGATAATGAAAATCGTCCAAATTTTAATGGGGGAGGCAAGAGCTCAAATTTTCAAGCAGAATACAGTTGAGGGTTTGTCTTGAAGGTGGATACCACATATTGGATGAATCCGCAATGTACATAAGCGATCAACGGCCAACAGCAAAGAAGCTTTGGAAGCCACCAGTGCGAATACTGGAAGTAGGAATATTAGGTGCACAAGGGCTTCTCCCTATGAAGATGAAGGATGGTAGGGGAACTACAGATGCTTACTGCGTGGCTAAATATGGCCAAAAATGGGCTAGAACACGAACTATTCTCGACAATTTCAGTCCCAAATGGAATGAACAATACACCTGGGAAGTCTACGATCCATGTACAGTCATAACATTGGGGTCTTCGACAATTGCCACTTAGGAAGCAACAAACCTGGAGCTGGTGGATCACGAGACTCACGGATTGGGAAGGTACGAATAAGACTCGACACCCTGGAAGCTCACCACATCTATACACATTCTTATCCTCTTCTTGTATTGCACCCATCAGGGGTTAAGATAATGGGCGATCTCCAACTTGCAATTAGATTCACTAGCCTGTCCCTGGCTAACACGATATATGTTTTTGGGCACCCCTTATTGCCCAAGATGCATTATTTACATCCTTTCACAGCCAATCAAGTAGACAACCTGAGATACCAGGCTATGAATATTGTTGCTGTGAGGCTCGGTCGACCAGAACCCCCATTGAAAAAGAGGTGGTAGAGTACATGTTGGATGTTGATTCCCATGTGTGGAGTATGAGAAGAAGCAAGGGTAACTTCTTTCGAATCATGTCCCTTCTCTCTGGTATGATATCTGTGAATCGATGGTTTACCGGTGTTTGTCAGTGAAAGAATCCGGTAACACCAGTTTTAGACTTTTAGTCCATATTCACTTTCTGATATTAATATGTTATCCCGAGTTGATACTCCCAACACTGTCTCTACATGTTCATCATAGGACTAGCTTGATGAAGAATTTGACATATTCCCTACCTCCAGGCCGCACGATGCTGTTCGAATGAGTTATGATAGGCTAAGAAGTGTAGCAGGTAGAATTCAGACAGTAGTGGGAGACAAAGCCACACAGGGGTAGAGATTTCAGAGTCTACTTGGCTGGAGAGACCCGAGAGCAGCGAGCCTATTCATTCTATTTTGTCTTTGTGCATCAGTGGTTCTTTATGCCACTCCATTTCGAGTTGTGGCTTTTGTAGCGGGATTGTATATTCTACGGCATCCCAGGTTTCGGAGCAAGTTACCATGTGTTCCCAGCAGTTTCTTCAATAGATTGCCAGCTCGAACAGATAGTATGCTCTGATACTCCATATCAAAGGCTTTTGATAACGTTTCACCTTTTCTGTTTAATATCTTTTTCCCCCATTAAAAGTTTGTTCCGATAAACTAGAAATGTTCACCTGGTCATCTGTGGTAATATATAATGTAAATTCGATGGATGAATGTTCATACGATCCAAGCTCTGAATGCAAATAGTAATAAATCAGATTAAAAATAGAGCACTGGTGTACCAAAGCTACAGATCAGGTAATCTATTCATGAAAATCTATAGGCAGACTAATTTACAACCAGTTCAACAAACTGGAAATAAATTACTTTTACCTCCTTTTGTTACCAAACAGATTGCTGGATCTTCCTGGGATGAACTCCAATACACGACAAGCTGTAGCTTTTTCTGGTGAAGTCCTAATGAAACTATAAAATTGGAGTCACTAGCAACTGATTAAACGCTGGTTCAACTTTCAGAGGTCTTGCATTAGAAAGCTCAACAGACGTTGGATGAGATCACAAAGGAACTCTGCCTGGTATATTGGTCTTTTTGAGTTTATTCCCTCTAATGCTGTAAATATTAAAATAACCAGATTTCTTTGAGTAAAATGTCTATTAACCAAAGAGAAGGAAATGTACATGCATACATAAAAGAAAATTTAACACCGGTGAATAAAAAGTTCAAATTCATAAAATCGAACTCTTATTCATTTTTCTCCCCTTTTGCTTAGGAGTTTAGCATTCCACAAACATATCGAATTCGAACCATGATTTTTTGGATGACAAACATGGAACACAGGGATTATCTCCAGAGGTAAGGGCTCTCCTGGCATAATGAAGATTTTCAATGTGCAACACAATGGCTGCTATAGTTAAGTCTTTCTTAATTATTTCTTCTCCACTTTTAAGTCATCTAGCTAGTGTCTTGGAACTCTTTTGTCCTTATTTTGGATGAGCAATAGACAACCTAAAGTTAAATATTTTGAGAACCATATGCCCATCAGGAAAGAAAAAAAAGGTATTGTTCAGTCAAATTACGCCATTTTACAGATTTCTCCAACCCTCATTGCCAAACTCAACTGAAGGCAATTGCAAGCCAAACAACACATTCTTGCCTGATATGGATTCAAGGTAATCAAACTTTTCAATAGTAACAGGAGATCATGAACATAAAACGAAATGCTCTTACTATTGAAGAGATATCACAGTCCTTCCGAGATATCAACGTGTCTGATGTGGATCCTCCTCTCCTTCTTCGTCAGCGATCAGATTCCATTTCTTGTTGCAGATAACAGAATGAGAATGTTTCACTTCTCCAATTTTGACTTTATACAAAGAAAAAAGGTATAGTAATAACCATTTCTTGATTGCTGTAGCCATTTTGTTCCTTTGGGTCGTGGGTGAGTAATGAGTTGTTTGTTGGCTCTTAAGTAAAAACTGCACTAGTTTCATGCATACGAAACAAGGGAAAAATTTATACTGCGCAGGTTTCACTTGTATGAAACTGGTGCAATATGATTTCAACCAAATGAAACAGGGGAATATATAGGAAATAAATACTGCAGCGGATTTCTCCTTGAGAAAACAGGTGAACGAGAGAAAGGAGAACTTTTCTTTTTTTTCCTAGATTTTCTTTCACAAATGCATTACACGATTAGTGCATATTTTGCTACTTAAATTTTTCTTAAAACACGCTGCGAACTACATTTTCAGCCCTCATTTTTTTGACAGCTATCTTTGATTTTTCTACTAAAAACACATTACACATTAACTAACGATGTTCAGAATGTAAATGTTCTTTCTTTAGTTTGATCCTTCATTATTTGCTTCCCATTCTTCAATGATTTAATTCATTGAAATCATAAAGTGCTCTTCTGCTTGGTGCTGTTAAAGAAACAAACAAACTGATAGCAAGGAGGCTTCTCAACAAGTTCATAATCTACTAAAGAATCTACATCTAGAACTAGTTAATGTTTTGCAAACGAAGAGAGTCAAATCACAAAATACTAAAATGCGCACTGAAAAGAGACCACCTGGTGTGCTGGATAGCATCATCTTTTCGTTAATCAGATCGAGTACAATTACCAAACAAGTTCTTCAAAAGCCGAATTAGAGTAACCCTTGCTGCTCGGGGTTAGATGACAAGCACCCCTTGATTATTGTGGAAATTGGACAAAAAAATTGCAGTCAGAAAATTGGAATTCTTGAAGGAAAATTAGATTAGAAGTTGATTATTGTGGCCTCCGAGAAGCCTTCTTTGAGTGATCTTTCAGCTGACTTATGCAACACTGAAGACTCAAAATGATATACATCAACTACAGAGACCATGTCAATACTTGTTAAAAGTGAATCAAACTCGAAGAATAGTATTACAATGAAGGCTTAAACATTGATTGCAATGCATTCAAAATAGAGTTGAAATTCAAAGTCTCCAATTTGCCATCTTTGATTTCTCTTCCAGCTGATATGCAATCACAAAATCGATATTACTCCAAAAGTAATAGAATTAATAGGAGTAGAAGAACAACATTGTAAACATGAATGGTAGTGATCAAGCTAAATGAAAAATTACAAAGACATGACATAAGAGTTTGAAATCTTTTTCAATATTCCCAATTTTCAACAAATAAATCTCAATCAGAAACCATTCAGTATCCTACTCGTCATCAATAGTGATCACTTGACGTTCAGCTCTACTCTTATTTATCACTTCTAGCACATCTGGTGGAATTGCACATCTTAGAAATTGAACTTTAAACATTACTTTTACAAAGCTGATTTCCAAGAGCTCAAAAATTAGTGCATCACCAACCACTAAATTGTTATCATCCACGAACTTTCTCCAACTCGAATCAAAGCCTTTTGGTGTTGTATCCCCACAGAATTTTACCTCCCACGTTTTGCCAAAGCATTTTATGATCGCTGGAACTGTTGTAGAAGGCAGTCTAGAATCCAAACTCGGTGGAAAGCTCTGCAAGCATAAAGTAAACAAACACAAAATCAGCTCCTAATTTTGTAAAATGAGCAAACCTCCGTACAAGGGATGATTACCACACTTTAACAGTGCATTAGTATTTCACCAGTACAAATAACTACTTTATACCTGTATATAATAATCAACCTTCACCATTTTCAAATATGGTAATAAGGCAAGTGCAAGAGAACAACATATTTGAAACAATATATATATTAAAAACAAAAACAAATTACCATTTGATATGTAGGTCCCACGTGAGCTTTTGAGAGCTGCAAGTGATAAAAGGGAAGCTCCAAAAGAGGTGTAATTCCTTCCTCGTCCAGATGAGTTGTATCAGGGATGCTCAACATAGGCTCGGGCTTTGATGTGCCTTCAACCTTCTGAAACAGATTACAGAGAGATGCTATGAGAGTTTTTAATTAGAAGCATATGGTGTACCCTACCTAGCTATGAATCAAAGTTAAGAAGCAAACACTGAAAATCAGCAAGGGAAGAGAAGAGGTAAAATGTCCAATAATTGGGTTTCTTCTTTGGGTTCTCCTCGTTGCAGCTCCATTTTCCAAATCAAACAAGTAGCCCCTATAGCTCTTGTGTGTATTAGTCTTCTAAACTGTCACAAATCAACTCCTGGCTTCTATTATCAGCATTGGCTTAATTACATTATTAAAATAAAAAATAAAATTTTACGTTACGATTTACGATTATAGAGTTTCTTCATTTATTAAATCAACTTGTCTTTATTAACAAATATGGCATCAAAGAAGGATGCCTGAAATGATGAGTTCTTCAACACTTCTCTGCATTGTTAATTTGAGATATTGTCCTTAAACCAGAAGAAAATATTAAGCAACCATAGAACTAGGTAATGCAAGTGAACTAGCTTAGGAAGGAACTTAAAAACAAACTATAAGGGTAAATACGCAAAATGAAATGTAGCTTTTGATGTTAGAAAAGAAAAGATAATGAAAAGAGCAGGGAAAACATATAAGAGAAGACGACTTAGTTCAGGACACATAAACCTAAAGAAAGTTCATGCTAGTGATAAAATGTTGGTAGAATAGGTTAATTAGTCAGGACATATAAACCTAAAGACATAAAACTAACACGGTCCAGTTGGTTCTTCTCACAAAAAAAGCAATAAATCAAATGTAGAGCGCAAATAATATATAACCGACTCAAACATATGGGACATAAGAAATTGTTCTTTATAATAGGATCCTTTCACAAATCTTACTAACATTATCACAGATGATCAGGTGAGCATTTCTAGTTTCATATTTATTTAACACTTCAAAATTATTATTTACATACAGAAGAAACATGTTACTACTTCTCTTTATAAGCATCTTAAAAAGACGTTCGATCAAATATGGCCAATAGATTATCCTTCCAAGAAGTCAAAATCTTTACCCCATAAAAGTAGAAGTGTTAAGCGAAATTGTAAGAAATTTGAAGTATTTAAGTAAACAAATACAATCAACTTCTAAGTTTGAATGAACTTCTTAAAACAAGGAACCCTCCGTTATGTAAAATAGCTTCAAAGTTTATTCTATATATGTATTAGCTGCCTAAAAATGTTGCTTCTCACAGATGATTACTACTCTATTAAGACCTATCATATAAATACCTAAAAAACTTCGTCATGAGGAAAAAAAAGAAAAAAAGAAATTAAGGTAAGCAACTTTCAAAGGTTGCATCGTAAATAGCAACATTTAGAGAAGATGATTGACTACCTTAAACAAACAAGATCATTTTGTTTATTCCAATATCACATATCATACTAAAACATTTTCTAAAATGGAAATAAATTTCAAAATCTAAACTTTGAGGTAACTAATTACCAAGAGATGCGTAGGTTCGATGTTAGATTTTGAGTGCAAGAAGTCATCAGAGGGTTTCTCCACGAGAGGTGTACTTCCATGCTCGATTAAAGAAGTTGAAAAAGAGCTTAGCATAGGTTCCGGCCTTGGAGCATCATCAACCTTCTGTGCAGCAGTATTCGAGGCATCCATCTGAACAATATAACAAAAAGCTTTATAAAATTAAGAGAAAAAGTTAAAATTTTCGGTGAAGAGTGGAAAACAGCATGATTATTTATGTTCATATGCCTCGAATGTCACAACACTATATTTGCATGGTTTACAAGTGGATAAAGAAGGAACAATGAGCTGAATTGATTATATGAACTTAAAGCCACTACCTAAGGAAGGTAGTTATTGAGGAGCTATGATGCATTGATACCGAAAACATGTCAGACATGCCGATGCGCGATTTTTCAAAAAAGTATGAAATTCATTTAATAAAGTATCACATTTAATTTTATACTTATTATTGATTTATCTTGTTGAATTTTTTGTAAACAAGAGTATCTATTTGTTATATTATAAGAACTTTGAGTTAAAAATATATATTACTATAAAGAAGAAAAAATGACCGATAGAGTGACCAAAAAGTGTCGGTGCGTGACATGACGTTATCTGACATGAACATGTCGCCCTAATTAATGTGTCCATGCAATCCAGCTGAGGAGTGGTGCACCTAAGGAGAAGGTTTTCGATACTCCAAAAGCTAGTGGTGGATACAAATCTCTTTGTGGGTGATTTAAGTCATTAATTCTTTCAGAAACCTCAAGATGTCAGAAAGATGATGAAATGCTTAAAAAATATTGATGATGTAAATGTTCTATATGAGATTAATTTTACCTTAAATTAAAAGGAAGATGAAAAGGAAATTAAAGATTTGGATCGAGCAGAGTGTGGATGCATCTCTTGTGGATAATTTAAGTCATTAGTTCAATGGCTTTGTATTTGTATTTCTATGTGAATTATCTATGTTTTAATCAATGGAGAATTCCTTCTAAATTCACTGGTTTATCAGTAGATTATTTATCAATACAAATACATTTTTGTAGACAATGACATGTTGGACATCAAATGTAAGATGCTCTAGGCATTTACACGTGATCTCTCTCATTCACTACAAACTAGTGATTGAGGTAATTATGAAATATCAGCTCTGTCTTTAAAAAATAAATAAATCATATTTTCACATTCAAGTTTCCTAAATTACCTTCTCTAAAACTTTGGAGCACAATATTTTATACCTTGAAGTTTACCTGCAACTCCTTATGTAGAATGTCCCAAGCTTCCTTAGCTGTTTTTGCATTGAGAAACATACGAAAGAATATTGATGAAACACCTCGTTGAATAATAGAAAGAGCCTTGGCATCATTTCTTCTATCTTCCCTTAATTTTTGCTTCTGTTCCGCAGTCAGCATCGCAGTTGGGTTGGGTGCTTCATACCCTTCTTCTACATATTCCCACAAATCTTCTGATATCAAAACTGTTCTCATTTTAACTGACCAATGATCAAAATTTTCTCCAGAGAACATTGGAATATAAATATCCTTTCTTGAACTGGACATCCTTCTCAAATGAAATTAGCTGTTGCGAGTAGCCTTCTACCCAAGTTCACACTGCTACAAAAACATTACAAAGAAGACCAAATAAGTTGAAAATATGCAAACAAGGGATCAATAACTCATCTTAATTTTAGATTTTTGTAAGTCCACAATTACTAAGATTTTCTCTCCTTCGTGTCTTAGTTACCTATAGCATGCAAAACTGGAAATTTCAGAAAAATAGTAAACAATAAGTTCAACATTATAACGTTGAAATAAGAAATTGATAATTAATGAAAATCAAACTGGATTTATCCATTAATGTCAAAAATCACCCTTTATTTCATGAAAATCAACTGAATTTTTTTTTTCTTTTTGTAAGAGATGCTGTAAGCATGTGTACGCGAGAGAAAACCTATCTATCATGTTCAAAGCCACTCAGAATTGTAACAATTGATCGAAACTCAAATCAAGAGAAAATCACATTCATCATTCACAACAATCAGATCGAATGTGATTTCAACATATAAAGCCCGTTTTACACAAATAAAAATCCTATACTACCTTCCAACTTTGTTGATGAAAAAGTCGAGTAGAAATCACTGCCGCACAAGATAAATTGGTGCCAAGGGATGATGAATGTGTCCCCCTTTTTCCTCTCCCCCAGTTTTTAGCGTAATTCCGATGAAGAAAACCTTAGCCGGCTGTTCCCCTTTACTCTATGAATATGACTTGAACAGGCAACTTGGGTATGCATGCCTTTTAATTGGGCTTTACGAGGTTCCTTTTCAACTCTAATTCATTTTTCATTTGGGTCTCAGTCAATCAAGCAGGGGAAATCATAAATGCATGCCTAATATATAGAGAGAAACTATATTATTGCGCGGGGTGGGTGCGGGGGTAAATTTTTTACTTTTTTTTTTTTCTGTGAGAGGGTGTAAGAATTTTGTGAGCTCATTCTTCTTTACAAATGGAATTTTTCTAATATATATTATTTCATTTTATAGTACTCAATTGTTTTATTAACCAATTTTACTGCATAATCCCATTAGAATCTCTACATTGTTGCATATGAAATTTTCCTTTTTGGAACCGTAACTGAAAATTTCAAGAGGCAAAGCAAATTGTGATATTAACTCCATATGCTGAAGACATGGAGATTAAAATTCAAATAGCAAATGATTATTACATAGCAATTAACATTACAATTGTGATTACTCATAATTGTCGATTGTTGAAGAAAGGTTGCAGTGATGACTTCGCTGTTGTGCAATCTGAAATTTGATTCATCGGAATTATATTCCATACTTTTCTTTTACGGAGATTATATGTAATTGTATCAATTTATAACATATCCTAAGCTAATGCAACACAAAATAATTCACTTTATTTCATTTTGCTTCTCACAGATGATTACTACTCTATTAAGACCTATCATATAAATACCTAAAAAACTTCGTCGTGAAAAAAAAAAATAGAAATTAAAGTAAGCAACTTTCAAAGGTTGCATTGTAAATAGCAACATTTAGAGAAGATGACCGACTACCTTAAACAAACAAGATCATTTTGTTTATACCAACATCACATATCATACTAAAACATTTTCTAAAATGGAAATAAATTTCAGAATCTAAACTTTGAGGTAACTAATTACCAAGAGATGTGTAGGTTTTTAGATTTTGAGTTCAAGAAGTCATCGGATGGTATTCTTGATCCCCGCAATTAAATTGTATTGAAGTTCAAAATTCCAAATATGAATAACGGCTGAAGTAACAGAAAATGAAGAAAAAAAGTCATGCCATGCTATTTATAATCAAATTCTTGGAAGGAAGCAACTATAGTCATGTAGGAGGTGTCTAGGAGCGATTTTACCCAACAAAAATTGATTTTTGGGCACATCGTGAGGGCCCACTAGCAGCAATTGTTCAGGCGTGTTTCTTCAAAATGGAAGGAAATTGACCATTTTATCCTCCCGTGAAAGTTGTTTGAGTGGCACATTTCTCTCCTCTCAAAGTTGGTAAAAATAGTGTAATGAGGAGGGCAAAGCTCGTAAATGGAGTTTGAGTACCTGATTTTGTCCTGCAAAGTTGTCAGACATTTTCCAAAAAACAATTCACAAACGGTTCATTTTTTGATACACGGCTGTTCTTTTTTTACTATTTAGCCCGCCCAGACACCCCCTTAGTAAACAACCACCAAATCACAACTTAAGTTATTGCTTGAGTGACAATTAGTGTGATGGTTTAAGATTTATGTGTACCTCTATTTCCTAAACTTTGTCCATAATTTATGGGAAATGTGAATCTTAAATCATGAGTACAATTTTTATCATAAAATTTCCTTTATTAGTTGTTGGTAATTGATTATCATGAGTACTTTTAGATCTTTAATGTAGCACTTGTCTGAAGAACATATCATTTACTATTGAGGAACATTCAAGATGAAAGAATATGATTTAAGTAGTTTTATTAATATTATTTCTTTTACTTATGATATATATACCAGATGTGGAAATAAATGTTACCTTTGTTAGAGCAAGAAGAGCAATCATCCTGAAATATTTTAATATTTAAACTTCTCAGAATCAGAATTCAATCAAACAATCCAATTTTGTCATGTGTTAATCAAACAAACCAACAAATATGTCAAAGGCAAAGAGCAATCAATCATATAAAACAAATAAAATTTGTGCCATAAAAGCAATGGTTAAGGATTCTCACAAGCTACATGATTGCAAAATAATTTTCACTTAATTGATTTCTAAATAGATATTGGAAGAAGCATTCTTCGCTTCTTTTTCCGGGCCACTCTATCTTACTTTATAATTTTCATGCATAAAAACACTAGCATTGTAATAAATATCAAAATAAGAGCAAGTCTCAAATGTCTACAATGTAAATAAATGACAGAGAAAACAATGAATGATAAAATGATAAGTTTCCATATCACAAAAATAGCAATGTCCATCCTACATCCAGCGAACACAACATATGAGAATCACAATTCTTGGAGATGCATAAGCACATACATATACATCCACTAAATCGTGTTTATAACAAATTTTTGGAGTAAAGCAATTATAGTCATTCGGTACACAACTACCAAATCGTGTTTAACAAAGTATCAACAAACTTCCTCACACTATTTCTCGATTCTTTTTCTCCTCCCCTTGGTGAATTGACTCCTGATAGATGTTGCAGGGAATCGAACATGTATCGATCGGGGCCTTTTTGTGTTAAAAGCGTCATCGCCTTCAAAGGGGGGCCGCCACCGGTATGTCCGTGACAGCGCTTACGTAGAAGTAGTATGAGTTATTTTAATTATCCAAATTGCCTAATAATAACATAACATAGTCTGCCAACATCTAATTATCCAAAATTATCCATTTTTCTGTTCACAGAGGTACTGTTCACGTCATCAAAATTTTTTTTTTCTTTCTTGATTTGTATGGAAGTTGACAATATCATATTATCTATTCAAAATCTGTTTATATTCATTCCATTCCAAAAATTCAAGAACCACTTCTTGAATTTAAATATCACTAATCCAATTGTCCAATTCTGTTCTTGAGTCTTCTTGATTACACCAATATAAAGGACGGATTATGATTGG